TAATGTTACAATGGCACTGAAAAAAGTGACTTATGACCATTTTTCACACTTACGACTTACGCAGCATCCCCACAGTCATGAGAAGCCAGGCGAGATGCGTGCCTCAATGTGAGTGATATAGAGTTGGCCACACCCAGCCAATCACATGACCACCAAGCCATGTCCACCAACTAAGCTACGTCCACAGAACTGGTTATTAAAAAATTTGAATCCCACCCTTGGTTGGCGGTGCAGGCGGGCTGAAGCAACGGGTGTCGGCAACCTGTAGCTCTTTCTTCCCCCTGCTGTGGTCCCCTCCTCCTCCTCCTGGAGCCCATTACAATGTGGAGCATCGGCTGCAGCCGGGTTGGACAAGTTTCTCAGAGCAAAGAAGTGGTTGTGCATCTCCATGAGCAACCGAGGTGCGTCCAGCACTAACAAAAGCCAACGAAGCAACCGTGAGACCCAGAGACCCAGAGAGCGCTGGAGAATCAGAATGAGAGGGAGAGAGAGACAAAGAGAAGGAGAGTGAAAGACAGAGACGGAAAGACAGACAGATGAGACAGATACAATTAAAGAGATGACAGAAAGAAAGACACAAAGAGAGAGATGAGACAGAGAGAGATGAGAGAAGTACAGAGATGAGATGCTGGTGTTTTTTGTTTTCTGAGGGAAGTGGGTCCAAATGGCTCTTTGAATGTTTAAGGTTGCAAAAACAGGTGGCCACCTAAGTGCCTGAAGGATTCCATCCCATCACTGGGAATCCAGTTGCTTCAGTGTGCGGCGTGCTGAATTCATATAAGTGAAATATATAGTAAAAATTTGAATTTAGTGGTCTCCGAGGTCCGAAAGGTCGGTGACCCTGGACTAGATAATCTACAAGGTCCCTTCCAACTCTGTTGATCTGTTCTGCTCCATCAGCACCAATTCCAGCTTCTTCTCCAGCAGGCAAAGGATCTGCAAGGACTGTGGGCCCCGAGTTCCCACTCTTCTCCCCCTATAGCTCCCCCGCTCCTGGAAGACACAAGATCCAGGCCATCCTCATCCCTTCAGGGGTGGGGGGACGGGTGTGCCAGATCAGAAGCAGGGGGGGGGTCACCTTTTGGGCCATCCACTGGATGACTAGTCACTCAGACCCTCCACCCACAGGACCCCAAAGTTCACTTGGTGGGGATGGTTCTGCTCCCTTTGCACTCAAGACTGTCCCAAGCAAAAGGAGCCCCACTTTGGCCACCTTCCTGTGTCCAGTGTATTGTCCACTTCCCTGTGCACAGGATGACCGCTCTCCTTTGGCCACTCCCTGCTGGACGGGCAGGGTTACCTGGCCCCACAAAGGCATCGACTGCATGCCAGACTTGAACCTCAGAAAATACTTCATGCCGGATTATCTTCCACAAATGGCAAATTTATGGGTTCCATTAACTCTTTCCCGGCTGGGTTTGTGTCTTGTCCTGAGCCCCAACTGGCTCAGAAGGGGCACACCCTTCCCGTGTCTCATTCCATCTTCAGTGCTTGCGCCCTTCCTGCCCCCTTGCTCATCTTACTCCTTTGAGAGTGCCTGGGTCAGCTCACCTGTGGCCGAAGGTGGCTCATCCCAGCCCCGAAGGGGATCATTCCACCATCCTGGACAAGACCTCGGATCAGTTGCCTCCAAACTCAGGCACACCAAGTTTGGAGTGGAGCTGATAAGAACCTGGGGGGGGGGGTGTCCTTGGTTCCTTGAGTTTGGTGGTTTTCTTGCAGAGGCTTCATGACCCAAACTAGGCAACATTGTGGTGGTTAGGAGTGGTGTTCACTCTCAGTTTGCTCTCAACTGAGAGCAACCTCTCCCCTCTTTACTAGCACTGATGACAGTATTTATTTGGGTTGTGAAATGTTTGCAAAAAAACAACCAAATTCAGGGACCACCAAGGACCCCCTCAGGTCAACCCTGAGCTACAAAGATTCTCCTTAGAAGGTAATCTTAAAAACGTATTCGACGCCTGTAAATCACCTCGATAAACGATGCAAATAAAACATAAACATGTTGCATTTTTAATAAATTCAGAGTAACATAAATGTAGAATAACAGGCAGGCATTAATATATCACTTTTATTGATTATAAAGGCCCTTTAACCGCCTACCTTTCATCTAAACTGTGAGCCACAGAGTCAGGCAGGGATGCCCAACCTTGGCAGCACCTGGAGGATGCAGGGACTTCCAACACCTAAATTCCCCAGGTAGCTCTGCTGGCTGGGAATTCTGGGAGTTGAAGTCCGCACATCTCCCGGGTGCCCCAGGTTGAGAAACATTGTGTTAACGCACAACAAGGATGCAGCACCTGGCAGGAAGCGGCATCGAGGGTTTTGCCCAAACAAGGGACAAAGGGGTCTCAGAGGAGCCAAGAGGCACCACTGCGTCACAGCCCCGCCACCTCTCGGTCAGTCAAAGCCCCCCAGCCACGAAGCTCTTGGTGGCCCCCAACCAGCCTGGACTGCGCACAGCAAAATTATAAGGTTGGGCATGGCGTGTGGAGGGGAGACCACATCTGGTCCTCTTGCCAGATGTGGTCTCGAAGGTGCCAGGAGGTGGGGCTGAACTCAACTTTGGTCACTACGTGAACTGTTGTAAGTTGAGGACTATCAGTCACACATCCTTTTCAAGGATATTTCGCACATTGAAGGGTGACCCCCATCTGGCCCAGATAGAAAAAAGGCCGGAGCATCTCCCCAAGGAAGGGCCCTGTCCGGAAGGTGTAGAGCGAATCCCCCGTCGCCGCATCCAGGAACTGCACTTCTTTTGCCTCGCAGTCCAGCCTCACCCACAGTCTCCACGGCGATTTTTGCAATGACAGCTGATTCGGTTCAAAAGCGACCATGTGCCCCAAAACATTATTCCCCACGGCCCATATTCCCTCCTGGGGTCTCAGGTAGAATCTCCCCTTCCTGGGGATGGACTCCTTGGCCACCCCGATGGCCCAGCGCGCTTTGGCGTGCACCAGGAAATTGTAGGGCCCCTGCACGGACACTTCCCACTAGTGCCATAGTGTGGGGATAAAGATTTTCTGATCGATCCTCCTTGTCACATCTGGGCAAACCTGGAATTTGTTGGCCCAAGTCACACTGGAGCCCTGGCACCAGAGCTGTGGGTGGGCGGTTGAGCCATTCAGCGTGGCGTAGGCTGCAAGATGGAGAACAGAACCTCTTAAGGCGGGCCACAAAACATTTCTATGGTCTTTTTAGAGTTGCCAACAGAAAAGGAGGGGGAGCAATGCGGTAGCTTGGAAATCAAAAGTGCATTCCACACATAGCTTTTCAAAGATTATAACTAGGTGACTGAAGTTTCTGCTGAGCAAATATCGAACTGGAGAGCATGACTGAGGACTCTTGGCTACCAAGGGCAAAGCAGGGCAGGGCTGGATGCTTCACCTGCTCAGGGAAGGACCTGCTTAGCGGGCAAAAGGCAGCAGGATGGCAAAGGGAGGAAACTGGGCCGTTTGGTCCTCTCTGGAGCCCAGAGACGCAGTGCCTGGCAAGGGCCCCAACTCAAAAATGGGACCAATTCCTAAATACAACAGGCCTCTGCAGGCGGAGGTCAGTGGGGCTGCCTCTGAAGGGGGGGGGCTCATGGGCAGTTGGGGGGGGTCTGACCCAGACTAGGCCCTGCGCTTACTTCAATTCCCCAGGGCACAGGTCATCCTCAGCTTCCAACCGTTCCTTTAGTGACGGTTTGAAATTACAATGGCACTGAAAGGGTGACCTACAACCCTTTTTCACACTTACGGCCATTGAAGCATCCCCAGGATCACGTGATCAAAACTTGGCCATTTGGCAACTGGCATGGATTTATGATGGCTGCTGAGCCCCAGGGTCAGGGGTCCCCCCCCCGTTTACTAGGCCCCTGGAGGGCTGGTTCAGGCAGGGCCCTTGCAAGGCAGGGGATGCCCAACATCTGCCACCCGCTATGGACTCCACCCGCTATGGACTCCACCCGCTACAGACTCCACCCGCTACGGAAAGCTGCCTTTTCCTCCGTGTGCTGTTACCTTGAGATCTTGGCTGTTCTGGAGCAGGTGCTGGGGAGGAAGGGGGAGAAGTTTAAAATTAGGCTGGGGGGCCTGAAGAAGCCCCCTCCCCCACTTCTCACAAGGCACAGCTCAACACTGAGCTGGGCTCTTCTATGCCTGGAAAGCTCCGAGTGCCTTTGCCCCGTAGCTCTTTTCTGGAAGGGTCAAGGGGTGGAAGGGAAGGGCTGACTTCATTTGGCTGCTGAGGAACCCGACTTCTCCCTCAGAAAATGCCTTCAGGGCCCCCCAGACTTGGGGCTTCCACCCACGGAGAAAGCCACTCCTGGCAGGCGTCACTCCTGACGATGTGGGGAAACCACTGTTGTGAGGCCTGGCGAGCGCAGGTGGTCTTTGCAAGCCCCTCCCCCACTGACTCCTCCCCCCCAGCCTCAGGGGGTTTACCTGTGGTCAGAAGTTGCTCCAGGTTCTCCCTGGTCAGAGTCGTCTGCAGAGAGGCTGAAATTCAGAGGAGGAAAGGAAAAAAATGAGGCCGGGATGAGAAACAGCCACCTGGGGCCGATGCCCGTGAGCAGAAGCCACCCTGTTGGCAGCAGCGTCTCGGTCCCTGCCAGATGCCCAGTGACACCCCCCCCCCCAAGGACCATGGTTGGAGGGGGTAACTGATCAGTGGAAGAGGCAGTCCCCATTATGTATATGTAAATAACGTAGTTGGGTTGACGATATATAAACTACATATGCGTTTGTAGCTTTAAGGAAAAATACCGTAATGTATTATGCTGTGTTCTGGTTGGTTAATTACGCTACAAGTTGCCATAAGAGGGAGCTATAGATCATGGTTTATTTCTCTTTCTCGTTTTCACTGATGATCTCTCTTTATACTGATACTGATCGACTACGGACCGATACTGACTAACCCTGTTTATTTTGATATTCTGTTGATATCAAAGGTTATTTGTTGTATTACGGTTTGATATT